TTTTACAAAGAAGGAGACAGAGCCATAGTATGTACTTTGAAAATGTGGCTGACCCCATGAATACATTTTATATAATGACAAAAGATATTGAAAAACATTGTTTAAAACAATATTACATATTGATAGCATTACTTTCATCAAGGTGTTCTCTTTTACATGTATTTTACATGTATATCTAAAAATAATTAAACACTAAACATTCCCGTTTTAAAACTTGCCCTGCTCTAACTGGAAGTCAAATCCTCCACACATTGCATTGTGTATATGCAGAACTCAATGTATAGCAAAGCCATTTCATACCATTAAGTCTTCTATCAGCTTCTAAGACTGTTCCTGGAGATAACTCCAATGGTTTAAAACAAGCAGATGTTATGGTTTGTAGAGGATATGTCTCATGAAGCCACTGCTTTGCATCGGCAAACCACACACATCGTTGTCACAGTTCTCTTTCGCTATCTTGCACTTCCCTTTTCCTCATTTACATATATTACAGATACTGTACATTTCAAAATATTTGGGGATTTTTTTTTTTTATGTTTACGTTTGAGAGATGAATGTACCTAATATGTCTGCTGAATGTTAGACTGTAAACAAGCAAGTCATTCACGCAGCTCATTACATTTGTTATGTAGCCCCTGCCACCTTCAGTGCAGTGGCTACTAGAAATGTTGCTTGCTAGAGCTGTAAACAGTCTATGTGATTTATAGTTGGCTATTATCTGGTTAATTCCAGGTGCTCTGTTATTGAGTGTACCTGCCTGAGTGGGGTGTGACCTTGCTGCAGTGTGGGACAACCAATGGGAGGACATCAGGAATGACTATGCCTCACAAGCCGATCACTGGGCCAGTGGTGCATGCTGAGGGAGTGCATAAATACTCAGGGGATTGACATGTACTCAGTCCCAGTCAACTCACAGGTTTGGCCTGGGAAAACATGCTGCTTAAATTTTTAAGTGATTTATACTTGCTTAAAAGTTATTTTGTCTGGTCTGGAACGCATAAAAAAACGCACTGGACCGCACCTGAAAACCCACTTGAAGCTAAAAAAAAAACAAACAAAAAACCCCCCAGTTCTGGAACGTGGTAAAATTGCGATGCACTGCAGTCCCCTTCCCCCTCCTTCCTCCCCTTGCAGAAGTGAGAATATGGTGCAACAGGAACACGGAAAAGCAGAAGAAAAGGGGAAAAGAGAGGGCTCTAGAGTTCGCCCTCAAACAAAAGGTGTGCTTTACAGGAACGCTATATAGTCCAGTGGAAGGGATGTGTAGGAAAATGGGATCCATGGGGTTCGCTCCTAAGGAAGATCTTATAGGTGTCCGTCTTTGATCCCAAAAAAAAGTGTCAATGCGCTGCTTGACCTCCACTAATCGAGTAAATTGTTTCTTCCACACCTCTGCAATTGTTTGCTTGGCTGTAAGCAAAACATGGGTAGTTCATTTAAATTGGGACTTGGTGAGAAAAGGCAGCTTAAGGTGGAGAAATTTTGTAATAGATGAACTACTCTAGACCGGAACCTGCTTATCATAGGGCAGGACCACCAGGTGTGCATAAAATTAGCAGCAGTCTCACAACCTCTGAAACAATTTGTGGAAAGTGAAGGATGTAGATGTATTAACCTGGAAGGAACCATATGCCATCGGGTGAGTACTTTAAATGCTGTTTCAGATGTGGTCACATTAATGGAACAGGAGGCAGCTGAAGAACAAATTTGCTGCCAATCCTCCAGAGTACAAAAAAATACTTTTATTTGCTGTAACAACAGCACAAATGTTACGAAGATTACTATAATGTGTTTTGTGCACTCCACAAAAGACTAAGCCCCACTTGCATGGAGATATTCTAACAAGTTGAAAATTCCCTGGGTTTAATGATGAGCATATCGGACAAGTCCGGGCTATTTTTGGTTATATTTTGTATGTAATATTGTGCTTACTTGCCTTACCTCATTCTAGCAGTTAGCTGAATTTAGCACCTCCTCACATTCCTAGCAAAAGGTGGTGTCCTTGAAGTACAGTATATTTAAAAGGCAAAACATTAAAGTATTGGATATAGTAGAGGAAGGCTAAAAGTCTTGTAATAATTTATTTTTTAGGACATTTGATTAGGAAAATAGAGTGATTTTGGGGGCCCCTGGTGTCAGCTGGAGTCTCGGCAATCTAAGGGCCCCAGGAGAAGAGAAGCTCTGGCAGTGATTGGGCAGGTGGGCCCATCACACATACATACCACACAATTGCTCTACAAATGGAACTGAATGGGCATTCCCAACCCCCAGTCTCCTCCTCCAATCGGCTGCCAATAGGGCACCACAGAGTTTCCCCATTCTCCTCCTCTCGTTCTGGATTAAATGAAAGTTTCCTGAGATTAAACATCTTGCTCCACACCGTTTTGAACTTTGGCTAAGAGATTATTACTGCTGCAGTTTTTCAGGGTAGAACATCTACACCTCACCTAGAGGAGACAAATACCACTTCTCTACAATTAGACATGCCTAACCTCCATCTTCTTCACTTCAAAAAATAGATCTTCCAAATGAGTCACAGCTCACCTCAACATTTTCAACCCCAACTGAGCAGTATTCACTGCAGTGGATACCAGGATTGTACTTTCCTGCCTCAAATAAGGAGAAAAAACAATCCTTCTTTACCAGTGAGACATTTGTTACCTCCACATAAGCTCTGGCTCTATCAATTACTACGGAGTTTGACCTGATGAAATGTTCATTATAATTGTTTCAGAATGTTTGCACATGCCATACTTTATCATTTTGCCATCTAGTTATTATGTCGTGACCACCCTAAGGTCACCAGTATGGGTTCTCTTAAGAAAAAGAAACCCCCTAAAAGCTCTCCAGTACATTCCTTTCCTTGGTAAAGGATGTTTTGTATGCGGACTGGCAGCATCTAGAGAAATTATGCACACCTCCAAAATGTTTAGCTCAGCAAAACCCATTAGGGGATTCTTTCCTAAAAAAAGTGCCATCCCAGAGGTAGATGTGGCTGTTTCCTGCCTTAATAGATTCCTGACTGTTACAGTCAATGATCTTCCTCCATTTAATGATGCAGTGGATAAATGCCTAGGTAGTTTATTCAAAACTCTTTTCCCCTTATTGGGCTTAACCTGCAACCCCACAGTAGCTACAATGGAGGTTTGCCAAACCATAGCACTTTGGACTAGGATGGCTCATGATCCTGGTTCAGTGCCCTCTGATCCTGCATAAGCTGAAATTGCTTCCTGGAGCTCTTCTTTAGTTTGTGGATGGTCTTGCTGATACATTGCATCACTTCTCCAGGTTAGGCATTTGTGGCATAGATATTGGAACGGCACGTAATAAGACGGCTAAAAAAGATTGCCTTTGCAAGAAACTGGCTCTGCGGTGAAGGTTTGGATGCCTTCATTAAAAAGGCTATGGGTGGTAAAAGTACTCTATTACCATTATCAAATGGAAGCCTACGGTTCCTTTAGGCAAGATCAGGCTGTAATAGGAAGGCGTCCTTTCGACCCTTCAATTCCAAATACTTCCAAGCCAGGTACTGTTACAAGGGTCAGTAGAACCTGCTTCTCAGTCACTAGCTTTGGCAGCATGGCTGTTGAAGCGCAGGTCTTCAAGATAGAGGCTTGTCAGAGGAAGTTATCCCTCTGGTAATAAAGGCCTGGAGTGGGGGTGGGAGTAGTGGATCGGGAGCAAAATTTTAACAGATTGTAAAAGTAGAGGACATCTCATAGGATTGAATATACTTTTACAAGGATTACTTCAGCATAATTTTGGGACTGACTAGAAAACGACCAAAAAAAAGGTAAGGAAGATGATTACCTACCCTTAAATTGGATAAGGAAACCATTGGGCAACCTGCCATCTACCAATCTTTGGCATCCAGGTCGTTGTTCTGGGATAACTTTTAAGACCGGATGGGGCCTCTACAAAAAGCATGGTGGCCAAACCCAAAGTAATACTGTAAATGGTGTTCCTTCTTCAGCACAGTAAGCAAAGAACTGAGGCTGTCAGGTAGCTGACGCTTTTTATTTGGATGAGAGCCATGTGTTTCTGATTTTAGATAAGAGGGTGGCTGCACCTGCCGTGTTTCCCCGAAAATAAGACACTGTCTTATATTTTTTTTAACCTCAAAAAAACACACTAGGTCTTATTTTCAGGGTAGGTCCTTATTTTAATTTTTTATGTACAACAATCCACACTTATTTATGTACAACAGTCTACATGTATTCATGTACACAAATATGGTGATCAGTGGTGCCGTACCTTTCCAAGAGCAATTTGCTAACCAATCGCTGGCCAGAATGAGCGAAGTGCACTTTCACTATGGATTCCTCACAGGCGGAGTGCATTTGGTATCACTCCGCCTGTGACAGGAGTTGGCATCGGCTTATGCGGCTCTGCTCCCTCAAGTGCCGCCTCGCTTCCTCTAGCGCTGGCTTAGTTGGCACCGCTGAATTGTCTCCCGCGGCTCTTCAAGTTCCATCTTATGCCACCACCGGCCCTGGAAATGGTCACAACTAGGTCTTATTTTCGGGGTAGGTCTTATATTTTAGCAATTCCCAAAAATAGTACTAGGTCTTATTTTCGGGGTAGGTCTTATTTTCGGGGAAACAGGGTATGTAGTGTCCTGGAAGATGATTACGGAAGTTTTCTCATATGACTTACTACCAGAGACATTTTCTTTTTTTCCATATCTTGCCCTCAGATTAGAACAGCTTTACAAAGAAATCTAAAGTGTCTAAAAAAAACCTCACATCTTCAAATTTTGCAAAAAGTCAGTAAAGTCCATCACCAACTATATACAGCTTTTATAAATGTTTACTATGGTACAACACCAGGTAGGCAGCCTTGGCACTCTAGCTGTTGTGGAACAAGTCCCACGAGGCAAGACATGACTCCCAGAGGTATGATGGGATATGTGGTTTCAGCACAGATGGAGTGCCTAGGTTGTCTATCCCTGGTATAACACCACCCCAAGTACAAAAACAAACAAAACACACTAGAACTCAAAAGTGCACAAGGACGACAACTTGTGTAGAAATATTTATTTATTGGTTACATGGTATGGTACAGGGCAGGTCTTGGGACAGGTGAAAGCTCTGCTGTACAAGTCTGCAACTTAAAAACTCAAGCTACCACTTGTGCCTTCTTGGATAGAAGTTTCAGGTCATTGATGCATTTAGCAATACTTTCTTTTTGCTGAAAAACACAAACAGATTTGTTTAGTTAATAACAGAAAGATGTCCAAACAAAAAAAAAAAAAAAAAAAAAAAGGATGTACATGCTGCCATAAGAATCTAAGTCCAACTTCACTTAAAAACACATAGGCCTCAAATCTCTAAGCCAGAATCGGCTGCCTAAGACATAGGTGCCACAGTGGACACAGAGGCATTTTTTAGTGGCACCCAGATCATAGGTGTAGAAAACTGTTTGAATCACATCATCTTACTCTTGCTATGCAGCATTGGACAGTGGGCAACAATCTCTTAATATTTAGGTGCGTAAGATGCCCGGTCCCTCACTGAACTAGCGCTTCTCTTTTGTGACCGCGCTGACCAACGAGTGATCCCAATTTGTGAGCGAAATTCAAAATCCATAGTGCAGGGCTGCACTGGATGACAGTATGGGGTACTGATATTACACCCGTACCAGCGGAGGGGAAGGACTCTGATGAAATGCAAGTATACCGGGGGGGGGGGGGGGAGCAGACTTGAGCAAGTAAATTCCATTTTCCCAAATTACCTTTAATGTACACTGTGCATGTTAGAGAGCTGCTGCTGCCCGGCTACCACAATATGGCACACAGTGGAAAGGAGGCAGCACTCAGCGCATGCACACAGGTCCTATCCGTGCATCTGTTCACATGCAGATGGCGGAGGCAGCAGGGTTGGTTTAAAAATTTTATTTTTTATCTTCTTTTATTTTTTTTTACTTAACTTTATTGCTCAATAGCATTTGGAGGTGACAAGTTCTCTATATGAGCCTGCCCTCCAATACAGAAGATCCAGAACCTGTGTGCTGGATCTTCTGTACAGCTCCACTTGTGAAAGCTGACATAGGAGCACTACGAGTACAGCAGTCCTGTGTCACTGATCACAGAGCAGAGTGGAGAATGGACGTTCCCCTCTCTGCATCCTGAAGGCATTTGCCGTGGTCAGGGGTCCGCCACAAGAGCAGGGGACCCCGAAAACCACAGCGCACAGGGAAGAGGCTGGCGGGGGCAGAAGGACAAGCAGGCCGATTACAAGTGATCTGCGCGTTGTACAGCCACTCAAATCAACTGTAGAAAGCTCCCCCACTCTAGATTTAGCCCTGCTTGCCTGAAGCAGGTGCTAAATGTAGAAAAAAAAACAAAACACCCTCCCGGCACCCGGAACAGCATGTCCTGGGCGTCGTGCAATAGGAATTCCACATCCCTGGGTATCACAAGTTCCGGTGCGGGCGGTAGGCCTGCTTGTTGTGCCATTGAAATGAATGGCACCGCAACGCACCTCTCCGCAGCAGAATGTTTCATGGTGAAACTGAAAATGAGTTTATTCCCCACCTTTTAAAAAAAATTTCTTTACCTATTTTTTTATTTACTTTACTGTTGTTAGGGGCGCTGGGTAAATATCAGGGGTCTAAATAGAGTACAGAGGCTTCCTGTTCATTCACTTACTATCAACCCAGTTATGAATGGACAAGAAGCCTCTGTACTGAGCCGCTTCCTGTTCATTCATAAAGTAAAATGATAATCATTACTACGTAAATGAACAGAAAGTGATGAGAGCACTTCCTGTTCCTTAATAACTGGGGACATAATAGTCACTATGTCTTCAGTTGTTTCCAAACACCGAGTGCTCAGGGCTGATCACTCAGTGTTTATTCTGCACATGGAAGGGTTGATAAATATAGGACATTTACCGATGAACTACATCATAGTATGTATAGAACGGCCCTGTATAAAAATTAAGACTTAATCAAACTTCAGGAAGAAGTGATTGCATTATAAAAAAGGACCTTACATAAAAATCCATATAACTGGCACAAAGGAAGTTCCAACACCGGTGCTCATACTCATTTGGAATATAGCGGCACATCCCTCCATCCTGGAGCATGCTCCCTTTCACTCAGGAAAACCCTGAGCCTGTAAGTGCCACTTCAGCTCCAAACTACACATTTGATATAACAAAATACAACAGACACTGCACAAGTTGGGTTTTTGGAAATTATTATTTTACCTGCTGTGGAGTAATGCTTTGCACCACATTCTTTTCCACCCAGCTGATCATGTGTTCCTGCTCTTTGCGGCGCAGAAGAAATTGTAGAGCCACTTGGTAGTCTAGACGTTTCTTCACATCATTGTAGACATTCAACAGCCTCTCCCTGTAGTTAGTTTCCAAAATCATTGCCACATTGTTCTTCACAGGAGTTGAAAAAGAGAAAAAAAAACAACAATTTTCATGAGACCTGGAAGTTCCATTTCTTTTACAGTATTGTTATTGAAAAGAGGATTTTTGTACTCTTAACCCTTCTATGCGAGGGACACGGTTCTTGCATAACTATACTGCCTCCTGCAAGAGAACTGGACACTGGCAGAAAAAAATGTCAGCCCTGGATATAATGCCACTTTTATGACCAGTATTGCTTTAGTGATTTATCAAGTAGTACGAAGAGGCAAAGGCCATAAACACAAAGTGGACCAGTGTCCATGAAAAGGAATTTACAGGGAGTAAAAAAAAAAAAAAAATTCCTGTCCATTAATGAACAGAATTTTTGAACAACTGGTATGTCCACAACAAGTCCAACTGAAAGGTGGGCAACACCGCAACAAACAAAAACAAGGGAATGCATGCAACACAAACAGCTGCCTGTAAACCTTTATGTCTGAAGCTGGCATCAGAAGACGATAAAAGATCAACTTGGTAGAACTAATGCTGAATTTCCTAAGAAGCGCTCGCAGTGAACTTTGACAGGAAACGGAGGGCTTGTCCTTGAGACCATAAGCTGAGGGATCCTTGTAGAAAGGGTGGAGCTAAAAGTCAGAGTGCCCTTTCTTGGCCTATCTGTTTTACTGAACGAGGCCATGTTTGAAAGGTAGACCCCAACTGCACGAACAACTTTCAGACAAATGTATTTCTGGTGAACTGGCACCGGGAAGGACAGGACGATGTACCGATTTAAGTGAAAGGGCAAGGCCACTTTAAGACAGAGCAGGCCAGCTCAGACACCTGTTTAGCCGAGATTATGGCCAAAAGGAAAGCCACCTTGTGGGTCTAAAACTGGGCCAGGTATGTCCCCGAGAAGCTCAAATGGACCAAAATTCACACGAGGGAGAGGTGATATGACAGGAATTTTTTTTATCCTCTGAACAAAACAAAAAAAATATATAAATAACAACATTATCATCATCTTAATTGGGGTGCACAGCCAGCTATACATCATGCAAATGTCGGAAAGTTCTTGATGAACTAGCTACAATTTACACAGTGGGTGCCCCTGTCAGCACCCTTCCACCTGGCATCCCTCGATCAAAAGATTGAAGGAGCCAGCTGGAAAATCTTAAGGTGCCCATACACCTTACGATTATCGGACGAAACTTTTCGTCCGATGATCGAAAATCGTACGACTATTCCTACGGCAGCCCCATCCTGCCCCGATGATCGCAACATTAATTTAGCCATAATTAACTAAAAGCACCTGGACAAAATGCGGTAATTGATTTGCTGTATTTTCGTTAGCGCAAGAGCAGTGTAGATCGTACGACTTTTGACGGACGGAAACGCCAGCAACCTTACGACAATCGTACGATCTAGCAAAGTTTTCAAACATGCTTGACCGTCAAAAGTCGTACGATTGTACAGTATTGTCGGTCGGACACTGCAATGCACACATACGATTATCAGAGGGAAAGTCGATCGCATACGAAAATCATCCGATAATCGTAAAGTGTATGGGCACCTTTAGGCCGAACAGTGCTTGGAGCCACCCAGCATTCGCCAGTGCCACTGTCAGAATACAAAGCTCACAGCTGAACAGGAAATCGGTTATATTTTTTTTATTCAGCACACAGGTTGAAAAATAAAAAATAAAATCACAGCCTGTAGCCTACCTAAGACTTCAGCAGTCTCTGAAGAGAATGACCTGACCCTTGACGGCACTAAGGGCCCAGCTACTGGTCCAGACCCAGCTGCAGTAAAAAGTGAATTCATCCATTTTAGAGAGTCCTGGGGTGAGAGTTCTCAAGACTCACACAACCCAAAATAGACCTTCCAATATGATGGTATACCTTGTGGGAAGTGGATTTGTGCATGTCAGCATCATAGGAATGACATATTCCACAATCACCCCGTCTTACAACCTGAGTTTCTACAAAAGTTGGTGTTAAAGCTGATGACTGATGTACAGGACATCAGATCGATCCTTTAGACAGCAGGTCCAGATGTTCTGGCAGTGCCTGCGACCAAGCTTACCAGGTTCATGTGCAACGCTGTCCTAGCTAAGGCTAAGATGTGCTCTTGAAGTGCCAGACCTTGTGGTTGAACCAAAAGACAGCCTTTGTGAGAAAACAGACTATGGTACGAAAGTAAAGGAAAGCCTTGAACGGCCAATTCTTATCCTTCAGAAGGAGAGTATTTTTACCCCCGATAACATTTTTTGTTGAGCTTGTTAAACGAGGCTCCATCTACCCGCCTAGGGCATATGGAGAAACTGCTTCACAGAAGCCTGTTTTGCTGTCTAACATTTTACTCAAAGTGTTCTCTGCATGTGAACGGAGGTTAATGCAGGAAAGCAAGAGATTAGCCGCAATGCGATCAGCCACACAGGATCGCAAGGCACATTATGCCTGCGGTCCGGTCAAAATGCTGCAAGCACTATTTTGATTGGACCGGACCGTAGGCATAATGTGCCTTGCGATCCTGTGTGGCTGATCGCATTGCGGCCGGAGGTCGTTGCTACGGTGCCATTCACTTCAATGGACCCCCACGCCTCCTCCTGCCCAACAACATAGTGAGCCGGCCACAATGCGATGCAGTGCGTTCTGGCCAGAACGCACTGCATCTGGTGTGAACGAGGCCTAAGGCCATTTCCAAACAAAGTCCATCATTCTACAGTGAGGAAGATTATTCACAAGTGGAAAACAAACATTCAAGACTGTTGCCAATCTTCCCAGGAGCGGATGTCCCAGCAAATTCACTCCAAGGTCAAAGCTCAGAGATATGGCAAGACAGCCAAGAGTTCCATCTCACACTCCACAGGCCTCAGTTAGCATGTTAAAAGTTAATGACAGTGCAATTAGAAAAACACTGACCAAGTATTGTTTGTTTAGAAGGGTTGCCAGGAGAAAGCCTTTTCTCTCTAAAAAAAACATGGCAGCACAGCTTAGGTTTGAAAAGTTGCATCAAAACAAAACCACAAGACTTTTGGAACAATGTCCTTTGGGCAAAGTGGGGAGGTTTGGTTTTTAGCAACGTGGCACTGTGCATTATGGCAAAACACAGCATATCAGCACAAAGACCTCATACAAACCGTCCAACACGGTGGTTGAGAGGTGAAGATTTAGGACTGTTTTGCAGTCACAGCACCTGGGCACCTTGCAGTCATTGAGTCGACCATGAACTTCTCTGAATACCAAAACATTCCCGAGCCAATTGTGAGGCCATCTGTCTGACACCTGAAGCTTGGCCAAAACTCAGTCAAGCAAACGGAACAATGATCCCAAAACACACCAGCACATCTATAACAGAATGGCTGAATTTGGCAGCTCTGATCCAAAAAATACTCAGAGTTGAACACTTCTGGGTTCAGCCTCCATGCATGGAACACTGCACAGAACATATTGTGGAAAAATGTTGGATGAAGACCTATCAACAGCCAAGCAAACTGATATATTATAGTTTAGTGTGAACTAGTTCTTTACAGATTTGCATAACAAAGTTCATAACATGCCCATTTCTGGTTCTAAAATGTTATTTTAGCATGATTCTGAAATGGGATCTTGTTTTTCGAATGCTTAAAAAGGAGCATGTTTCAAAAAAAAAAAAAAAAAAAGGAAATTTTTTTGTCCCC